TACAATGTATGTAATATATATATATATATATATATATATATATATATATGATGAGTGATATGAATTGTATGACATGATATATGTGTGTTATGGGTTATTGCATCTGTTACATGATATACAAGAATATATGTTAATGTATATGTGAATGAATATAAATGACTTATATGATGATATAAGAATATGTTATAAGATATAGAATATGAACGTAAGAGATCATATGAACAAGAGATAAGAGATATGAAAGATAATAGTATAGGAGTATGATAAAAACATAAATGATGACATGTGTGTGTATGTATATAATTATTATATGAAAATGTATATGAGTTGTATGATATGATAGTATAAAACATTCATGCATGGTTAGTGGATAAAAATTACATTATATGTGTTTTTATGACTCACTAAGTCATCGAATTAGCATGTGAATGTTTCACACGTAGGTTTCGAGAAACAAGAGGAGGAGCAAAACAATGATAAGCAAAGCAAGAAAGGTCAGATTCTCCTTCCCGATTATCAGATCAGAAAAGTCTTTTATTAATATGTATTTTATTATCTGAAATTGTAGTTGGCATGTAAGATAAACGATTTGAATTGTATATGCTCTGATAAGTTTGTAAACTTTTATTCTGAAATAATATGAAACTTTGTTTTAACTAGAGATTTTCATTATTTTAAATAAGTAAGGGTTTTGAAAGTTGATGTGACACCTAGTACTCGGATCCAAGTTGGGGATGTTACATTATAAGTCTGTATGTAGAAGACTTATTAATTTTTAGTACACATCTAAAATCATTAAAGAGACTAAAGATTTTTTTTCACTAAGTTTGAAATAACTAATTTGGGAGAAGTTGATGTAATTTTATGGGTAAAAATGACTAAATCAGATAAGGGATACTCGTTAAACGAGTCTCATTACATAGAGAAAGTTTTGAAAAAGTTTAACAGTTTTGATATAATCCCTGTAAGTACCCTTTATGACCATATCATTCAACTCAAAAAGAATAAATGGAATAATGTCTCACAATCTGAATATGCAAAAATTATTGGAAGCCTGATATTTTTAATGAACTATACTCGTCCTGATATTGCATGTTGTTAGTAGGTTAAGTAGATATACTCATAATCCTAATGGTGAGCATTGGAATGCTCTTAATTGTTTACTTAGATACCTTAAAGGTGCAATAAATTATGAACTTAAATTTTTTAGATATCTTGCAATCCTTCATGGATATTGTGATGCAAATTAAGTAACTGACAATGATGAAGTAAGTTCCACTAGTGGGTATATTTTTACTTTAGGTGAAGCAACTATTTCTTGGAAGTTTTCCAAACAAATGTGTATTGCTCGCTCCACCATGGAATTAGAGTTCATTACTCTTGATTTAGATGGTCAAGAGACCGAATAGTTTAGGAATCTGCTTGCAGAGATTCCATTATGGGGAAACCTATACCTCCAATGTCGTTATTATGTGAATCACAAGCAATAATCTGTGTTGTTAGTAATCAATCTTACAATGGCAAAAAGAGACATATTAGGATAAGACACGAATCTATGAGACATCTTATAAAGAATGTAGTACTTGCATTAGAGTACGTGAAATCTAAAAGAAACCTCACTGATCCCTTAACTAAAGGTTTATGTAGAAAAATAGTTCTTGATTCGTCGAGGGGAATGGGGCTTAAGCCCATTGGATGAGTAATTTATATCGTACACTCCTACCCATTCATATGACGTACTGTGTACACTTGAAAGGTTGATTTTTATACTCTTATTGAATCCATAAACCAGGAATCGGGCGGTCCTAGTGAGACAGACTTGATGGATACTCCAATTTATAAGGTTGAGTTTTACACTCTTAATGAATTCATAGCCCAAGTTTGTGGGTGGTCCTAATGAGATGGACTTGATAAATTCACTAGATTCATAAATGAGAGGTTGAGCTTAACAAAAGCTCTTAATAATTTTATAACTCTAATTTGGGTGGTCTATATTGAGATAGACTTGATGAAATCACCTACGTAAATGTGAAGGAGAGCCACCTTCAATGAAAGATTTTGGGTCGCCTTTCTATAACAATTATGAGCACTTGAGGTATTATTTGGCAAAATGTTTGAACTATCACAGAACTCAAATAGATCTAAGATTAGTTGTGTGTTATGAGTTTACCATAATCTTAACAAGTTTAAGATTTGTTCACTTGTTAAAGAGAATAATTACTCATTCCACTATGTACTAGTTCAAATCTAATAGAAACTAGTGCTTGAGTGACTAATTTCATTGTTGCTCTTTTCTTTTAATTTTTTTATGGATTTTTACTTTTTTTCATTAGTGGGGGATTGTTGGTTATATTTATAAATAATGCAAATAAATATATTTATTTAAAATTTAAATAAATTAAATTCAAATGTTGAAAAAAGTGGGTTGAGATTTTTAGCATATTTTTTGCTAATTTTATTTGAGCGCCCTCTTTTTTTAACTATAAAAGGAGGTCCCCCATTCACTTTTAACTCACTCACTTCATCCTCCTCTTTACTTCTATATTTCCTCTCTTCACAAAGCATAGTGAAATTTTTCCTTTTTCAGTGGCCTTTGATATTTTTTCGATGAGATTTACTCCGAATAAAATATTTTCCTTTCTTCCAAAAAAGAGAAATACTATTAAGAGTTTCACTTCCTTATTTCGGGTGTACGAAATTTGGAAAACTATGTTAATCTTGGGGGCAACGTCCATTGTTAGGGATTACACCAGTTTGAGCGAAATTGCTTCTAAGACAGTGACTACACGACATAGTAAAATTACGTGGTATTCATTTATTTACCTTATTTATTTTTCCAGTCAGTGCTAATCTTTCATGTCGTAGTAAGCAATTTTTTCTCAATATTTGTAACTTTCAATAGTCGAGAGACTAAAAAAAGTAACACTCTATAATTGAATGATCATTTTATAATTTTTAATAACTAATAGGCTTAATAAAATAATATCTTATAATCCTAAAACCATTTGGGTAGTTTTCCCTATTATTTATAACACAAGAATTGCAAGCAATTATGAAGACTATGGGGATATCTATAATTGTGACACGTGATCAAACTTAAAAATCTATCATTTTTTTAGTTAATTTATTATTATTATTCTTAAAATCATATCCGAGCGCTAATGTTAATGAGATGTTTCTTTTCTTAATTTTAAAAATAATTGAAATTAATTTATTATTATGAAAAAACAATAATTTAATTTATTTTATAAAAAATAGAAAGTCCAATATGAAATTAGGTAAAAACACATAATTTTTAAATTAATTTAAAATATATTAAATATATAACTTTATCTATATTTAAATTCATTTGATATTATTATAAAAATGACATATCAAAATATAATTAATTATATTTAAATATTTAGTATTAAAAAGTAAAATTAACATATTTTTTAGAAAAGTAGGGTAAAGTACACAAACGATCCCCTGACTATAGGATATTGGTTTATCGAGTCTTCTAATTATTAAAAATTAAAAAATAATCTCCTCACTATAAGATGTTGTCTTGTTGAGTCTTCTACTATTGAAATTTACAAAATGAACATCATTATTCATATGTTTCAAATTAGTCTTTTTTTTTTGTTAAATAATTGACAATCATCAAAGCTAGTCATTAACCTGTTTACTTGGATATGATAAACTCTTATCCTAGAACCATTTAATTTGTATTTTATGGATCAACTATCCATTTATAGTATGAAGTGCTTGAAATATTATGTTGACGAGTTAGTGTTTGAAAACAATAACAATGCCAATAGATATCATTAAAATATAAATTTATCATATATATCAATAAATTAACGTCCAACTCAGGCGTTCGTAAAATTTTTAACGCAAAAGGAGGAGTTTAGAACCTGTACATAAATAGTTTAGTGATCAGTATGTATTAATAGTGGATAGATTTAACAAAATAACACCATATAAACATATATCATTTTATAACTTTTAGTAATTGAATGACTTAATCAGGGGCATGACTAGGTTGTTGGAGGCCTTGTGCAAATTCTTGTAAAGGGGCCTTTAGATCTCGAACTTATTTTTCTGAAATAATAAATGACTAATTTCATTAACTTAAAAAACTGATAGATATACTCTATGTTGGGGCCCCTATGCAAATTTGAACTTATTCTTCCCAAAAATAAATTTGCTTGTTAACGAGATTCGAACTTAAGATCAACAAAGTCATTGGCCCAATGATCTAACCGCTACTCTATATCTATTTTTCTACTTCTTAATAACAACAACTGATAGATATATTCTATTTCGGGGCCCCTGTTTTTTGAGGCCCTGCGTCGTTGCGCACTATGCGCTTGCTCAACCACGCCCCTGGACTTAACAAAGTAATATTATATAATTGGGGATTATTTGTACACTTTACCTTAAAAATTATATTAACTTGTTTTAAAAAATATGGGTAAAGAATACAAATGGTCTCCCAATTATAGATTATTGCTTTATTAAGTCTCTCGACTATTAAAAGTTACAAAATGATCATTCGACTATAGAGTGTTGCCTTGTTGAGTCCCTCGATTATGAAAAGTTTCAAAATGGTCACCCGACTATTAATTATATTCCAAACTCATCATTTTTTATTAAAAAATGAATGTTATTCAAAGCTGAATGTTAACTTGTTAACTGTGATATAATAAAATTTGATCCTAAAATCTTAAACGACTATCATATTTAGTCATCATGTTAACATCCAGTTTAAAAAATCTCCAATATTTTGACAAAAATGACAAGCCTAAAACATAATAAATAGTTAAACAATCATTTTTAACTTTTAATAATCGAGTGACTTAACAAAGTAACACTCAATAGTCAAACGATGATTTTATAACTTTTAATAATTGAAAAACACCATATATATAATTATGATATTTGCATTATTTTCCCTAAAAAATATTAAGGCCAACCAAATTCATTAGTTCACGTAAAAATCTGGAAAGCCATGTGATAACCTTTTGGAGTGGTCCAAATTCAGATACTCCCACGTTGCGGCTTCGTTTCACCCACTACCACTCTTCTGCTCACTTTCACTTCCACACCTTTCTTCTTCCACCATCCCAAACCAAAAAAAATGCAATACAAAAACCTGGGCAGATCAGGTTTGAAGGTGAGTCAACTCTCGTACGGAGCATGGGTGAGTTTCGGCAACCAACTCGATGTTAAAGAAGCGAAGTCACTTCTCCAGTGTTGTAAAGACAACGGTGTCAACTTTTTCGATAACGCCGAGGTTTATGCCAATGGTCGAGCCGAGGAGATCATGGGTCAGGCCATCAGGGAACTTGGGTGGAAACGAACGGACGTCGTCGTTTCAACCAAGATCTTCTGGGGTGGTCCGGGTCCTAATGATAAAGGTTTGTCTAGGAAACATATTGTGGAAGGAACTAAGGCTTCGTTGAAGAGGCTTGATATGGATTATGTTGATCTGATCTACTGTCATAGGTTTGGTTCATTCCGAGATCCATTTTTTATTTGATTTTCTAGGTTTGATATCGATATGGGATCTTGATTTTGATATTTTTCATTTGATTAATTCATATTTTCTTGCTTCTAGATATTTGATTTGATGCTGATGATATTTTCTTGGGTTCTAATTTTGATTCGAAGTCACATGAAAACTATTTTTAGGGGATTTTTGGAGTATTATAGAATTAGGAGCAGAGATTTAAATTGCAGTTGCAGACATAGTGGGTATTGCTGTTGTGCAATAACGGTTTTGGATGGCACCGGCTGCTATTTCGATAGTGGACTGCTGTTTAAATCCCATTTAAAGGACTTAAATCTTATTTTTATTTTATAAATAATCTTGGATGTTTGATACTTAGTGTTTATGGATCTTAACGTGGCCTTTTTTTTTTTTGAGGAACTCTGTTATGCATGGTTTTGGGTATATGCTTATTTAGTTAGTTCAATGTTTCACATGTGGGCGAGTTTATAATCTACCATGTGTGGCTGTGTAAGGATCTTTCGTGAGTTTTTGCAGATCGAATTCGGGTTTTCTTCAATATGGTTTCTCTGATTAGTTGTTGGCATATGAGTTCGAGGACTTCTCTCTTTGAGAAACATGACATGGATTTCATGGTTTTGATCTTTGATTACAGGCCAGACACATATACTCCAATCGAGGAGACGGTGAGGGCAATGAATTATGTGATTGATAAGGGTTGGGCATTTTATTGGGGGACAAGTGAGTGGTCTGCACAGCAGATTACGGAAGCATGGGGAATAGCCGAGAGGTTGGACTTGGTTGGCCCGATCGTGGAGCAGCCGGAGTATAATTTATTGACTAGGCACAAGGTAAGTGGTTCGTTGGAACTCGGAATACTGCATAAGCACTTTTTCTGCCGTTTAATTGTATGTGAACTTTGTTTTGGAAATCATACATGTAATAAAATTATCAGCATTATTCGGTTTTTTTTACATAAAAACTTCTTGCCTTAGGATTTACAGCTTTTAATCGAGAATGATTTTTTTCATGTTTCTACGGGACTAACAGTTTTTTTTTTTCTTCCTTTGTATGTCTGCAGGTTGAATCCGAGTACCTTCCTCTGTACACCAACTATGGCCTGGGTCTTACCACATGGAGTCCTCTTGCATCTGGAGTGCTTACTGGAAAATACAGCGAAGGAACAATACCTCCTGACAGTCGGTTTGGGTTAGAAAATTTCAAAGTAAGAATCACTAAATATTTGCTTGCTTGTGATTTTGCTTGTTCGTTGATCGTTTTGTGCTGATGTTAAGTGTTGAACATAACCATCCATAGTCATTTAGGATCCTTTTTCCTTATTTGTAGAAATTCTGTTTTACAAGATTGATTTTAGGCTTTGATTCACTATGTCATTTGATTCTTAGGGATTTAACATCTTGTTGATACCTCCATCGTTGTAAAAATTAAAAAAAAAAAAAGATCATTTCTGGTGTTGGTATCCAAAAACAGAATAAAAAAATGAAAACTCAACTGTGTAGTGATAGTTGCATATTCCGATATAATTTGCCAAGCTTATTTAGCTTTCCAGATTTACTGCTAAAATTTTTTAGTTAGCATCTCTAGAGATGATTGTGAAACTTACCTGGCTTACTTAGCTGCGAGTATTACTGTATTATATTTGATAATGTAGCCTATGTTCTTTCTGCACTACTAATTTTAACCTCCTTCCTTATCTGTCACGAGTAAGCGACTAAACTATGTGTTTTCTTGTGCAGAATCTTGCTACCCGATCACTAGTTGATGATGTATTGAAGAAAGTCAATGGACTGAAGCCGATTGCTGATGAACTTGGTGTGCCTTTAGCACAACTCGCAATTGCATGGTGTGCTGCAAATCCTAATGTATCATCTGTTATTACTGGTGCTACAAAGGAATCTCAGGTTAGTATTTTATGTATCTCTCATCATTTTATTTCATACTTTATCGGATCACTATGAACCGATGAATTTACGTTGCTGTGAGATTCTTCATGGAAGCAATTGTACACTCATTTTTTAGTAGTACAATATTATAAAATTTTGCCATTTGGTACATGTGCATTTGCTTGAAGTGTGTCGATATATGTTTGATATAGGAGCTCATCTGATGATGACGATGGAATATAGGTACTGTAATGGAAGAATTATAGATTAATCTGGGATTATAGTGACATGATTGCAACCTATGCTGCCCTACACTTCATTTTTATTGAAGTATCCATGTCCTACACTCATGTTTAACATATTTTTGGGTATGAGTACGAGAATATGATCCTTGAGGACCCTATAAATACATGGAAAGAAATAGATACTCACCAATCATTTGGTGACATAGACATTCATTAAGGTCTGTAGATCCATCTCCTTTGTGGCCATCTTTTTGGAATTCATGGAAAGCGACCTCATTGTGGTGCCATCTTTTGCCCCCAGGCTAAGACATTGTCGGACGTCTAAACTTGTAAATTAATGGAAATATTCACATACCAATATGCATGTCCAAGTATATGTTGAACATGGTTGTGGGACACAGGTCTATCAAGAAATTTTCAAGTCCGAGCAATATAGGTTTCTAGAATATTTGGTTATCAACTTTTAGTTGGCTTAAAAATTAGAATTGGGATTTGAATATTTCCCCTTCTGCTACTGCTAAATACTCCCTGTACAAACTAAACCAAATTTTCTTCATTCAGATTCAAGAAAACATGAAGGCACTTGATGTGATTCCATTACTGACTCCCACTGTCATGGAGAAGATCGAGGGTGTTGTTAAAAGTAAGCCGAAGCGTCCGGATTCATACAGGTAGATCCCAGGTACCCGTTGCTTCATCGGTATAGCAATCTTTTAAAGCATATGGTTATGTCCCATGTGTCAGTATCGATTTGTGTACTTGATTTGGTGATAAATGGATTGAATATTAGAACTTTCATTGTATTTGGCGCCCCTTGTCTGTTGCCTTGAGTGAAAGGGTTCAAAAAAGATTTGGAACTGGGTGGATTGTGAATGCATATGCATGGTCTGTAATGGAACTCAAATTTCTTTTCTAGTTTTTGGTTTGGTTTGAATAATGGTGCCTGATTTCTATTTGTGTTTTATTATGTCATGATCGTGGTTAAATTATTTATTAATTGTATATGTTAATAAAAATAACAAGGATTTATTTAACAATTTAAGCTTGAGAAATAGCAAGAAAGTGCATTAAGTCATTGATAATAAGAAAGTAGTGAAAATATAGTTTGCAGAACAGTAAGTAGAAGGAGCAAAGCAGCAGCCAGAAGTGAAATAAGTGACCATGGATTGTTGAAATAGTTGTGCTTCAAATTCGCCATCCATTTGTTCCAAGCTTTGCTGCAATACTCGTTTACATCGTTGAACACTCCACTATAATAGAAGTTTTGGGAATTCATTACATAAATTCCCAGACTGTTAATCATGGCTGCCACTGCTTCATCATCCCCTAACATGTTGTCCAGGATTCCGTTTTGTCGAAGTATTTCGACGTCTTTCGGCGAATCAATGAGGCTGTCGATGAACATCATGTAGTCACTGGCATGGTGTAGATCTCTGTCTGATACGAACAGTTGCTCGAATGCGATGTGATTCCGTAGAAAAGACTCGGTATAGTCATTGATGACGATTTTAGGGATACATAGGGTTTTGTTTTCAAACCTTATATCGAACATGCTATTTCCCTCGATCGTTTTGAATTCAATCCCGTATTCTTCGAGTTCCAGGGCACATTGTATGATGTTCATAGCAGAACTTTGGGTTGCCTCAAAGGCCTTTATTTCTAGACTTGAGGGATGAAAGCAATGATTATATGTGAAGTCTAGCAAGTGCTTGATTTCTTATCCGAAGGATTCTAGTTCGCCTTTCGGACGCCCTTTTCCAGGTACTACATGGAAGAACAATACAAAAATCGCGTCGACGAATGTACCTCGATCTATTCGGGGCTCAATCATAGCAAATATCTCCCATATCACGAAGAAAGGAAGTTGATTTTCTACTAACAAAATGTCTTGAACCAAAGCAAGAAAGAATCCATTAGGGTAACTCTCGAACAAATCCTTCAGATATTGCGGGACCTCATGTAAGAACAGCCGAATCAGTTGAACAATAAAGCATCCATCGATGAGCATCATCTTGACGAAATCATCCGAGTCAAGGCTTAAAGGTTGTTCATAGCATCCGCGAGCTTGTTCGAATAATTCTTTCATTTTTGCAACATAGTCCGAAACATGAACATCCTTCGTCTCTTCTACAAGTTGTCGAAGAAAGCCGAGCTTTCGTTCTTCCATTGCTTTCAAGTGATCTTTGCCGCGATGATATGGACCGATTGAAATGAGCTGAGGTTCGTAGGCCTTTTCGTTTACCTGACGAAGATAATTAGGTACTCTTGAAATGCAAGACTGAGGCGACGTTGTTGATGAATTCTTAAGCATTTCTACTACGCTAATGGAAACGGGATCTTCCTTTCCTTTCGCCTGTAAATTGCAACCAAACCATGTTATAAATAAAAGGCAAACTTCCCCAAACGAGGATATATTAGTGGAGACTTACTTGTTCAAAGGGCTGTGCCATGCCTGCACTCGATTTCTCTGCCTGCAGTTTCAGATTGCTTGACAAAAAAAATTATATAAATGAAGAAGTGAATGTTATGAATAAGAAATTGCATTTTGATATATAGCTGAATTTTTATGTTTGAGGAAGCAATAAATTTTGAACAAATATGATTGGCTTGTTTCATATAGCTAGGGGAGTGGTTGAATAATAATTACCATAAAAGCAATCTACTTGCTACTACTTTTCTTTGGGCACCGTTGAACATTAAGTACAATTAATAACCCATGCAAAAAAACGTTGAACTTTAGTTAAATTTGTGTCATTGTTAGTGTAAAATATTATCTTTAAGGGTGCAATATTATGCTTGAGTTATAGGTTGGGAGGGGACGAAGGGCCTACATAGTTCAGGAGCTGTGTACAAAATTTTAAAAGTAGAGAAAATATATATATTATTAGAAAATATATATATTATTAGAGGGAAGAGAAAAGGTAAACTTAGTGTAACACTCAAATCCGATCTGACCTGAAATTCAAAGGATTTGATCATTACACGGAGTTACCGAAGTGGCTAACCATTTATTTTATTTAAATCATTTCTAAATTTTCATAATAGACATTCCTAGTTGAAAACATAAACATTCAAGTTTTACAAACGAGGAGCTCACAAAATATAACATCTCAAAATACACGAGTTTAACATTTGAGAGTTACGACTCAATTACAGATAAGGTCTATGAAACACATGCCCTCTAAAATAGAAGAGAAGTACTCTAAAGCTTGACGAAATTTAGAATCCACAATTTGGCGATAAGCTCCTCGAATTGACACATAACAACCTGCGAACGAAAACAATTTTGAACGTTGAGCTATGAGCTTAGTTTCACACAAATAACTCTACTATACTACATGTGTCCATTGAATGAGTATGCTAGCAAGTATAGTCATGAAGCAACAAAATGCATCAAGCGTAATTCACAACAAAGTATTCCGAGATAGTTTAAAGTATTACGACAATACCATCATCTAACTAAAGTGCCTCAACACTGATACGTAAGTGCATTAGCATTGATACTAAAGGGTCTTAGCACTGTTGGGGATATGTTCGGATATTTCACATACATATACTTTAGACAATCGTTGTTCATTCAAGTAGCTCGAGTGTCCTCATCGTTTTTCGAGTGTCAAACAAATGCATAAGTCTTATGAAATATTTCTTCATAACATAATACTTATCATATAATTATTCGAGTTTCCACTTGCAAGCTTTTATTATTAAGATTATTGGCATTTAGACTCCTCACTCGACCTTCTAGGCAAAACAAATCTTTAGTCTTTCTTTATTCACAATGGTATCGATACTCAACCTCGTAGTATCAATACTATTCTCTAATGGTATTGACATTATCTCGAGTATAAATATTCAAATCAAATTTGATGTTATTTAAAAGACTTCTAATATCGATATTCTCATGTGTAGTATCAATGCTTCTGTGCTAAAGGTATCGATGCTCCTATGAGTACAATTATCAAAATTGGATTAAATTTTTAGAAAAATCCACCCAATATTCGATACCCATACCTAGAGTATCAAAACTTCCCTTTTATATGGTATTGATATTACTCAAGTATCGGTACTATAACATCTCAAAATCTGAGTTAGTAATTTTGAGTCGATAATCAAGTATTTTTTGTGATTTTCGGTAAAATCATATTTTTGTAATTTATTATAGAAAATATTTTAGAAGTATTAAATATGAATTTTGGAATATTAAGTATTGTTTTAACGAGGTTTAATTTGATTTTGTTAAGTGGCTAAATTGAATGATTTCAATTTTGGTGACTAAATTGAATTCGGATCAAAATATCAAAATCTATGAAGCAATATCACCAAGAGTTAATTTTCCCTCTTCATTTTGCCGTGAACTCTCTACCATTTTCTTCTTCGATTATAATTCATTTCATTTTATTTTATTTTCTTTTGATTCATTTTGCTTTTCTTAATCAAAGTTGGTTACAATTAAATATTCATTACTCTGTTCCAATCACCCAAACACATTTCATTCTCTTCATTTCTCCTAAGCTTGACCGAAATTCTCTTCTCTTTCTCTCCAAAATTCTTTGTTGAATTCTACTTCATTTTCATTTAGATCCATTCAACTTTCATCCTTGAATCATTCTTATTCTCCTTGGTGATTCTTCCATTAATTCTTAGGTGAGCTCTACTCCATTCTTGATCATCATTATTTTTTTGTTCATCCATTTCCAGTCATGTATTTTCTTAATCCTTAGTTTATTTAGGCTTTGATGATTAAAAAGATTCTTGAATAAAATGATTTCTAATCAATTACATTATTTATGTTGTTTTTCAAGAAACAAAAATAATTTTCGGAGTTCATTATAGAGTTAATTTTATTGCTATGATTCAAAGGTTTGATTGAGTTAAATGAGGTGTTAATGATGATATTATTCTCATATTAAATTAGTTTTTCAATCATTAATGATTTGCACATCAATTTCTTTAAAACAAACATGATTTCAGTGTTTTTTGAAAATTCAGGAACCACTTTGTTTGCTTCTATTTTTGGACGATTTAATGGTGATTAGGAGTTGATTTAAGTTGTTCTTGATCAGTTTTAGGCCAAAAAAATGGTGCTAAGGTTGTAGGAAGCTTTGATTGCAAGAATGGTATGATTCTCGATCGTTTTGGTGATTTTCGTTCTTTTTAAATGAGATGTTAATGAGATATTGTCATCATTTATATGTTTTCTAAGGTCCTTGGGGAGTGTATGATGAGGTGAAAATAGTGTACCAATATTCGATAGCGAGTTAGAAAGCGTTTGGAGTCAAATTGTGTGCCATTCACTTGTGATGAATGTGTTTAATGTTGAATAAAGGTTTAGTTGTGAGTGAACTATAAATTTATGGTTTCAATTTAAGTATACTTGTTGTTTATAATTGATGATGTGAATCTATGATGTTTAGTTTAATATTTAATTATAAAGAGCATGTATTTTATGACATTATTTGTGGCATTAAAATAATACGATTAAAGCAAGTATGTGTAATATGATAAGTTGATCATGAGTTATGGTACATTAGAATTTATAAGCAAGTGATCTTTTAAAGCATGTATATCTAAGGATATTAATTATGAGCAATGATGCATTAAAGGTGAGTGATAATTGCAAGTATGTGTATTGAGGCATGATTGGTTATGTGCATGAGATGTATGTGATCAATGTGAATGTATATGTATCATGATGAGTTGGTTATGAATTATAGTGCATTGTAATAATGTGATTTATTGAAGGTGAATTGGATATGTGATATGATTTATGATATATAAATTGCATAAGTTTCATTCGATGCATAACCAATTTAGAAAACTATGTTTCAAGCCTATGTGATATTTAGCTTAGGGATGAGTAGAGACACTCTACTATCCATGGATAAGAGAATATAATTTTCTATCCAATAAGGGTTGATCATACAACCATTCTTTAGTATATTTAAAATTATGT